ACTTTTTTTTCCTTTCCCCTTTCCTGCTCACCTTTCTCCCACTCAACTTTTCTTCCTTCCTACTTTTTCAAAATACTAGGAAGCGAACTAATGGCATTTAAGCTTTAGGGGCCCCACTTGCACAAGCTCCCTGCAAAGCTCTTGTAGGGTCCCTAGGAATGTGTCTACTTGGGTATGTTTTTGTAAAGTTTGCAGAAGTGAGAAATTTTGACCACAGGTGACCAAGTCTCTCTTTCTCCTTAGTCAAATGTCCCCTCATATCTCATGGCATTGAATGGCTCTAGGCAATTTGGGGATTTAACCACAGTGAAGCTGAGTTCAGGATACAGTAGTTTGGGTTAGCAAGGTATATTTATTGGCTTGAAGTCACTTCTGCATCTAGATAAGTTTCTTCTCCCTGTCCTGGTGTAGGAATGGCTTCTGGGAATACTTCACTGATTCTTCCTACAAGGTGACATGAAGGGGTAGGGGTCAAGTTCCCACCACTAGACCACTGAAAGTACTTGGATAGTGAAGGACGCACATACAACAGAAAACAGACGCTGCAGTTCTCAAGGATGCCAAGTCAGAGTGAAAGGAATATTCTCAGTAAAGAAGAGCATACATTTATAAATACAAATTTGTCCCTTCTGGTGAGAATCATACATAAGAGAATTTATCAGAATTCCTGTATTTATAACCTTTGTTTATTATACTAGTCAGTCTTCCAGAAATTGTAGCTTGTTGTGATTTCTCATTCTAAATAATCACTTTCATATGAAATAAGTAAATAAATGAACGAATAAATAAATAAATAAATAAGAGCAGCCTTGCCACATACAACTATTTCAATCGTATTCACAATAGTATATCTTCTTGATGTTTATTTTTATTTTGTCTTGTAAAATAAGAACATTTGGGCTACTTTGAGAAAGAGCAAAGAAATATTTATGCAGCAGATCCTTTTTGGAGAGAATAAAAATGATTTATAAGTATTTATTATTGCCAGTGAAGGTCTTAATGAAATATTTTCCCTGCAAAAAAATGAGGCTATAATGTTCCTCTGGCCTTACTTTAACAAAATAAGACACTTTATTTTACTTATTTACTTATTTTACTTACTTTAAGCAGAATAAAGGCACTAACCAGAATCATGATGGCTAAACAAGATTTATGAGTAGATCTCTTCTACTTTAGGTCACATTGAAACAAACATACTATCTTCAGAAAAAATTAGGTACTATAAAATCTAATTGGAATATATAGTCCTTAAGCACATTTTAAATATCATAATTAAGTGCCCAGACCACCTAGGCTAAAAACGATTGTGTTTTCCCTCAACAGATAATTTTTATTTCATAGTTTCAACCTGGAAGACACTTTCACCGATTTCAGGGGTGACTTCAGCATCTGAATACAGCCGTCAAATCTATGCTTGCTGTGGTGGTGAATATACGTAGGCTGCCTGGAGGTCTAAATAGGAGCTAAACAGCTTGGCATATTCCGGGTGCTTCAGGGCAAAGTTCTTAAAGGCCCTGTAGGAAATGCACGCTGAGTTCTGTCCGGCTATCTCCCAGAAGAGCCGGGAAACATCAAGATCTGGCACTCCAAAAGCTGCCCGAAGTATAGCAGCCAGCTCCTGCTGGGTTATGAAACCGTCATCGTCAAGATCAAACAGTCGAAATGACATCTGCAGAATCTTTGCAGTGTTGGCAGGATTGCACAGGACAGTGAGACCTATCACATACTCTCTGAAGTCTATGCTGCCATCATTATTCCTGTCAAAGAGGGCAAAAAGTTGTCTCAAAGGCTCTGAAATTGGAAGTTTTAGATAATTTGCAAACTCTGTGATTCCTATCTTACTTCCTTTGGAGGCAGCTGCCATTGCAGCATATTCATCCAAATGCTGATGAATATTATCCCAATCTAACTTTAATTTCTGGTTAATTTTTGTAAATTCCACCAAACCGGCTTCCATGGGTAGTTGAAGGCTACCTGCAGAAATCATGAGTTTGCAGTCTTCGTAAGTGTGGTCTGTCACAGGCACCCCAAGAGCATTTGCCATGACGATCCTCACTGTATTGGCAAAAAGGATGGGTTTTTTTTTTTTCTTGGTCATTTGGGATATAAACAGGCATGAACTCAACTTCTACCCTGGCGAAGAGCTGACTCAGAGTCAACACACAGGCCTGGAAGCCTGTAAACCCCTGCCAGGTCCAGGTCACTGTGTCCAGGGTGTTTGGGTACCTCAGCAGCACCGGCTGCACAGGGACACCTGGAGAGAAGGCCCCTAGTCGGAAAGTGACCAGGCAGGTGCGGTTGGTGCACACTCCTTCCGGGAAGAGCAGGATCTGGGGCCACTTCCCGCCAGATGTCACCCGCTTCAGGATTTCTTCCCGGGTGTTCCTCCTGGAGTTGGGGTCATCTCGGGCCGCAAGCACTGGCTGCGTCGACAGTAAGAACTTCCCAGCCACGGGGATATGCACATTTTGACTCGCAGAGACCACCGAGGGTAACCCTGCCACGACGCAGGCGGCTGCATCAAAGAAAGAGGAGTGCGGCGCCGTGAGGAGGATGCAGGCCTCGTCTGGGGTTGCCTTTTTCCCTTTCACTTTAACCAGGAATCCTGCTAAAAAAATTGTCACCTGAAACAAGAACTTGAGGGCTGGTCGCACCAGATTTCTTCTCCAACTCTTGGCGGGCCTGCTTGGGTGGGCAGGACGGCCGATGGTGAAAAGCACGGTGACCGGCCGGAGGAGCAGGAAGAGCAGGGCGCTGCAGGCCCCCCGCTCGGGCACGAGCACGGCGCCCAGCAGGACGGCGCAGGCCCAGCGCCTCGCGCCAAAGTGCG